GGGTCCAGATTTTCAAGTCGTCGCATTGTCGAGTGCCGTATTTGTTCAACTAGATCACCAATAATGCCTAGAGTATCGAAATAACGATAAGGAAATACACGGTAATAGGTTGGCATGATCCACATAGACACTGTTAATCTTTTTGAACATATTTCGATACTACAGATATTGAATTAGTCTTGGGTGATCTAGTAGAACAAATAATCTGATCTTCAGGATGATGTCAGAACCTATAACATATTGTTTACCTTTCAGAGGTAATTAAATTAACTTGTGGTGTGCAAAGTGAAGTTAAATTAATCACCTAGGAACGAAGGTGTTATTAGTGCTATAAGTTTCATCCATACGTCGTTGCCCACTATTTTCTGTGAAATCAACCGGACAAACACAACGTAGGGCCTGGTCGATCAGACCCTATTTTCTCGATGTTCAGAATGTTGTAAGGCATAGTTAGAGTGGTAAGATACGTCATTTTTGAACTGCTCAAATGAAGTGATCTATTCCAGGGGCACCTGGAGAAGAATATCTAAATAATTCTATGGAAATTTTCAGAAAAATTTAGAGGAGAACTTCAAGAAAATTTTGAGATACATTCCAATACAATTATGATGTGACTGCTGAGCTTCAGTGAACTCTTAGAAAAAGCATACACCATTCGAATAGAACCTTAGTATGAAATCCATGATTTTTTGGAATGCTTTTCAGAGAATGAATGGAATGTTAAATAGAAATCAAGGGACTCCCAGAGAGAATCATAAATTTATGTTAGAGGAGTTCTGGAACGTACGCTTTGAAGGAGAATTAATCTAAAGAAAATTCTTAGGAACATTCCAAATAATATAAATATAATCTTGTGAAGAGTTCTTAGCGAAGGTAGTTTAAGCATACACAAATTTTGAAGATCGAATGCTGATAAAAAAGTAATATCTAGAAAAATTTAGCAGCCCTTATAATGTCCCATTTAACCCATTGCACTGTGGTTTACTCCGTTTCTTTTCATTTTAGGGGGGCCTGGGTTCAATTCCTGTCGGCACCGCTGGGGTGTTTTGAGGCATAACATCTCTGATCACGTCTTCCTTCGGGAAGTAAAGCCGTTGGTCTCCGGTTCATGAGTTGATGCGTCGATAAAGGGTGTCCACGATGAAATTGCCACACACAAAATTGATTCGCAAAATTTCATCCGATTGCCATCAAATTTTCAGGGATTGAGAAATAACTATTAAACTTTATTTTACCATTTTACTCGTATTTTATTTACAGTCCATACGCAAATGCCCGCACCTTGGCCTTAACCCCAGCCATAAGATTCTGCACAACCTGTGAATCAACCGTTTTTTGCATGTAAACCCATACTTTCTTCAGTTCCTCGACTGTCTTCACTACCTTAGGTCGTTTAAGAAGGTGCTGCTTCATAATCGCCCAGTACTTCTCGATGGGGCGGAGCTCCGGAGTGTTGGGAGGGTTGAACATTTTCGGCACGAAATTGACCTTATTGTCCGCATACCACTTCAGCACGTCCTTGGAGTAGTGGCATGAGGCCAAATCCGGCCAGAAGATTGTTGGGACGTTGTGGGCCTTCAGGAGAGGAAGCAGCCGCTTCTGGAGGCACTCTTTTATGTACACCTGTCCGTTCATCGTGTCCTGGGTCACGAAAGGAGCACTCCGCTTCCCGCACGTGCAGATGGCTTGCCAAACCAGGAATTTCTTCGCAAATTTGGACATCTTCTGAGTGCGGACATGCTCCGGAACGCTGAACTTATCCTTGGCCGTGAAAAACAGGTTGCCGGGGATCTGTTTGAAGTCGGCCTTCACATATGTTTCGTCGTCCATGATGCAGCATTCAACTTTCGTCAGCATGTTGAGGTACAACTTCCTGGCACGGGTTTTGGCGGACTTGTTCTGCTTCTCGTCGCGATTAGGGGCCTTTTGTACCTTGAACGTTCGAAGCCCAGCCTTAGTTTTGGCCTTCTGGACAAAACTTCGGCTTAGGTGCAGCTTCTTAGCCACATCCCTAACGGAGGCGTTCGGATTTCGGTTGAAGGCCCCAACTACGCGGTTGTGATTTTTTGTGTTGTACGGAATACTTTTTTCTTCACTTCTGGGCTTCCGATCGGTGGTCAACCGTTCCTCGAACCGCTTAATCACTCGCGACACCGTGGAATTCGCGATTCCCAACGTTTTAGCGATGGAACGATGCGAGAGATCCTTGTTCTCGTGAGGAATGCGCAAGATTTTATCACGCACGAGCTGTTCTTTCGACTCCATTTCCGCGAGTTTTGATCACAGGACTTTAAAACTTGCAGGATGTAAATAATGCACTATGAACTAAATCCACCCAAATTTTCATTAAATTCTACCAAACGGTTAAAAAGTTAGAGCAATTTCATAGTGTGGCAATTTCATCGTGGACACACTTTAGGTACCGTAAGCGTGATAATGTTTGCACCATTGAGCAATGTCAAAATTAACAAAATTCTTATTAACAAATTATTTATTCTAAGGGGGGATGTTTCTCAGAGTCTTAAACTAGGTGAATCATCTATCGAGTTTCCACTTGCTGCAATTACGGCCTCCACACAGGTTCTAATAATGTAGTCTGGATCCATTTCTCTCCAGGTATGGGTCAATGTTTGTCTGAGGCTTGCTGTGCTCGGGTGGCTTTTAGAACAAGCCTTGGCCTTCATGACGCACCATATTGAGTAATCCAGTGGATTAAGATCGAGGCTGGATGGGTGAGGCTGAGTGCGGTTCGAGGTGTGGCACGGAGCCTCATCTTGTTGAAATACAACATTTGGCTTCGGACCGTACTGTTCTTTGATCCATGGAAGAACATATTTTCTTGAAATCCCGATGTAGACTTCCGCGTTGACCTTGTCGTGTTCTGGAATGAACACCGGGTCCATTTTTTGCCATCGGAAGCCACCAATCCAAACACCATAACGCTAGCAGGATGCTTGGTCAGATACACGTTCTTGTGCTCGTCGGCCACGTCTTTTACCGGAAGAGAACTAATATACCGGTTGGTTCTGGAATTTGATACGGGATCGACGGTAAACACAACCGGTGAACACTCGTGTTTATTTCAGTTACCGTGGGGACGAAATTTGTGATTAGCCCCGGTCCCTTTCAAATTGTATCATTATTTATGTACGGTCCTTATATTTGAAATGACGTTTCACATTAATCTAGTGATGGCCGATTTTCATCCGAATAATCGTTTAATCGATTAACGAACCGAAAAGTAAACTATTTGTAATCGGTTAGATCATGCCGATATAAGCATTAACATCTTCACAGGATCATCACCGATCGTTTCAAACATGTGCTGCACTCTCATTGGTGGAAAAATGGCAGCACAGCGAACAAAAAATAGTCGATTAGTTGTTAATCGAGTAATTAAAAAATGGGACATCTCTGATTTTGGTGTTATTGTTTTGATAAAAATGAGCGCAAAATTTCATCTCTACCGAGGGGGCAGCAAAACCAGAAAATTACCTTGAATACGGGGGGTATTCATTGAATGAAAGGGACCGTGAAAGAGGACACTAAAATAGAAAGTTTTTCTTCCGACAGCTTCATCTTAGTATTAATCTTTGGTAAACATGCTCTCGTCGGTGAACAGGATTACCGGATTTTGTCGCTTAAAGAAGTTCAAGATTTTCTTGCATCGTTCGACTCGTAGCTCCCGGATGCGGTTGGTAATCATGTGAGTTTTTTTCGTGCCCTCGACTTCGCCCCGCAATCTTCCTTTACGATCTTCCGTGCCGTAAAGTCACTGATCCCGTGTTCCTTTGCCATTTTTCTTATTGAACGCACTGGATTCACCCGATAACCCTCGGAACCCGAGCTGACCTCGGACGACCTGTGGCCACCTTCGCGGATAGTTGTCCTTTCTTTTCTCGGTCTAAACCCCTTTTGACGGTCCACCAGGACACTCCCACGGCGATTGAAATGTCTTTTTGCGACATTTGCGCGTGGGACAAATCACGAATACGCTGCCACTTCGTCATGGTGTAATTGTCAAACTAAGTAAATCATTTTCTTTTATACACAGCCTACTACTACGTGTATGCAAGAAAACCAAGGCATTGTATGCACAGGTGAAACGGGAACCTTATATGTACGATGGTGCAAACATTATCACGCATACGGTAGGGTCCATGTGTGGGAGCTGCCTTCCTGGCGTCGGTAGCATTGGTGCTCTGCACGGAAAACAAGATCGACGGAAAACAAATCAAGGAAAAAAAGTCACAGGAAGATTTTGTTGTTCTCATTTTTGATATTTTAACCGACCGATATTTTAATGACCAAAACGACAGAAACCTGAGTAGTCAATATCAGCGTCATCACAACGTCGCATTTGGTTTTCAATTTGATCGCAGACTTTGCTCGGTAATCCCTCACTTGATATTCCAGAACTAGCTTGCCCGAAAAATGTTGGATTAAAAATAAAAACCCACCTTGTTTGTTTTGATAGAGGATAACTGGATTTGAGAATCTCATTTTTAAGTCATTAAACTATAATCCTGTTATGATTTGACTGGATTAGTGAATGGGTGGATACTATAGCACTACTTCAATTATAATTCAATAACAGGCATTGTAATTAACATCAAAGGGTAGAAAGCGTTCTGAAAGTGTATAAAACTGGCTTCCTTTTCGAGCACATTCTACACGGACGAAGTACCCCTTAAAGATTCCTAAACATCCATTCAATCCCTTCAAGTCCATTATTAATAATTCATAACTGCTCCAAACGGTAAACTCCAAAGCAAAAGTTGAAAAACCACTGGAATCAATTCCTTAGCACGGTCCAACATCGCCATTTACAACCAACTTCCATGGACTCGCGACAACCAACGATAGTACCTAGGTTATGGTCTGTTTGTTCAATGAAACCCCCCCTTGGCTCCCTCTCTCTCTGGTAGACAACCTCAGGGTAATAGTTATGCTGTAGCTATGCAGAAGTAGGTAGATAGACAGAAGCAAAAAATACTTACAGAGCACCGTTACTTCCATGTCGGCGTGCATCGCTTCCCGGACGCCGTTGTCCGCCGTGCACTGGTAAATTCCGGCGTGGTGCCGATCGACACGTTCCAGTATCAGCGACGGACTCTCCGACAGATGTGATGCACCAGCGAATGAATCCTAGGTGGAGGAGAAAAAGAACGTGAAAGAAGAAACCAAAAGGCAGAATGTGAGATGGGTAGTGCAGCACACACACACAAACACACAAAGGATCGAATGTTTGCTCATTCGGGTTGTTGTTGGTTGGCTGGAGGGGTACTATTATGCAAGTGGCCCACTTCTGACTGCTCTGGCTTTGGAAAGGTTTCAAGAGACCCTCGATGGCCGATTGAATGTGTACTAAATGCGATTAAATGTTTGTGCTTCGAGGAGTAGCTCTCTTCTCCCGTTTGATAGTTCTTTTCGATGGAGACCCAGACATAGGAGTGTGCTACAGCCAGGAATGAGCTGTGGGAAGAAAATCTATGTACATACATCCCACTTCTGATGAAGATTGATTGTTGAAACAAAAGCATCTCTGGGTGATTACTTGTCTCGGTTACGTTTCCTTGGTTACGATCCATCCTGAGGCTTACGGTTGTTGGGGTGGTTCCCTATCTCGGTGAATCTTGAATTTATACAAACATTGACGACGAAAATTGAGACGATCAACCCTGAGCCTGAAGCTTCGAGCCAAACTGGAAAAAAGGGAAAAACGCATAAAAGTGTCTGATGAGAATTTCCCTTTACTTTGATTGGCTTTCCCAGAGCGAAAGCTGGCTAAAGTCTACCTCCATTACTGCGCTTACCAGCAGAGAGCGGAAGAATATGTGGATTTTTCCTACTGATGTTGCATTCTGTAAACCCCGTCGTGGCTGCTCCTCAGGGGATGGAAAACTGTGGGAATTGATACCATCAAAGGAAAAGCGATGGAATGTGTTTGTACGATGAGGGTAGGTACGTATGTATGTGGGTATATTACGTAGATCTGTGAGAACGGTATCAAGTTTGCTACACTCTGCTATGAAGAGTACTTGACGCCTGGCTCGTGTGCCGTGGATGGATGGCGGCGGACAGCAGTCGGTGCGGTGTGCTCTGCAATCGACAAAGGCTTGGCTGCCGAGAAAAGTGAACTCAATTTTATTCACATGTGTAATCGATTGTAAAATCATTGGTAGCAAAATTGGATTATAGTGAAGAAAGAAAATTTACGACCCAGAGGGTACATTAGTGGAACAGCGCTCAATTTTTTTTCTGACGTTGGTTCGAAGAGTTCAATTCAGTCATCAATGTTTCAATTTATAAAAAAAATAAATCAATAATTCATTGTGTATCTGTTGAACAAAAATACAGAACAGCGCTTTGAATTTACCCTGCAGACATCTATGGGAATCTAGCATCGAAATCGTTTCACATCGTTTTATAATTAATAACCGGCTTTCTTCAAAGTAACCATACCAAACTCGCATCAACTTCGCACATCATATATCATTACATGGAAAAACACATACCATTCCCCTACTAATGAGCAAAATTCATCGGAGTGCACTCTGCAAGCTCGTTCTAAATTGCATAGTTTTTCATTTGAACATTTGTTTCCCACCACCATAGTAAGTGTGCACCACATACCTCCTTGCTGGCACACCGTGAGTACAGTAATCGCTTCATTTATGCGGTGAGTGGTACAGTCCACCCACTGCTATTTCTCGGCTGTAGGTAACTAGTTTATGGATGACACTAATCACATACAACAAATCAGCGTAATCGCTTGAAGGACTGCCGAAAAACAGCAAGGACAGCCGCATAAACGGAGGAATTACTGTATAGTGTTTTCCGGTTTCCAAGATATCGCTCACCGACCCGCCATTTACCGTGGGTGCTTCATTAGAAACTTTTTCCTCGTGTTTTGTCCTCTTCCCTACGGCATCAGTTGTATTATTTTCATCCTGCATCAGATGAGTACCTTGCATTTTTTGCATGCAGTTCAACTTTTTATTTTATGAAACATTTGTTTCCTCGCTCTTTCAGGAAAAACGTAGTCCACTTACTGCTGACTAACTCCGAACAGCTCTAGGCAACGCTTCTGGCTACCGAGTTCCGAGCTTATTACTATTTGTTTACCCCACTATACACATCTACCGGACGGGGCATCCTCGCTTAACGGGTACAGTAACTATAGGTTTCAGCTCGCAGTAGCTTTTTTGAAGCATTTACACCTCACCCTTCATCGTTGCTAAGCCAAACGATGATGTTTACGGAAATGGGGGAGCACTGTAGCCCAATTTGGCAATGCAGCTGAGGCAACAGATTCAAGCGATGTTTTACCAGTTAGCAGATGACCCTCCGATGCAGCAATATGTTATATGTTATATGAAAATTGATATTTGAAGTCGTTCCCAGTTCTTGTCGTCGTGAATATATCAACGAGCATTAAATCCGATGAGAGAGCTACTCCGCGAATCAATACCCACCACCTAATTACAGCCATCAACCAAAATTTCGAACCAAGCCAGCCAAATTGTGCACGTTATTGGCTCCACCAACCCCCTTAGCTTACCTTTTTATGCCAATAGATGGCGGGCACCGGATTTCCCGAAGCTTTGCACTCGAGCGTCACGGTGCTACCCTTCCGGGCTGTGATTTGTCGGTTCTGGGGCACCACTCGTATCGTCGGAGGCACTGCAATGCAAAAAATAATGAAAATCCTAAAATTCATCCATTACAGTGCACGGTGGCGGCGTGACGTTACTTACCGAGAATTTCCAGCGTGTGCACCTGGTCTCGGCTCTCGTTATCGCCGATCTGGCAAATATAATCGCCGGCGTCCTGAATTTTCACGTTCGCTATCTGCAAGTTGTAGCCCTCGACCAGCTTGAAGCGGGGATCACGTGTCACCATTAGGCTCGCCGCCGTCAGGACCGATGTGCCCCGGCGCCACAGCAGCACGTAGGAACCTGTGTGGGTGGTACGAGTGTGAAACACGACGACGGTTAGACTATTAAAAACGCACAAATTGCGAGCTACACGGGGAACCGCAGCGTGTGTGTGTCAATATTATTAGAGATGATGTTCACCGAGCGAATTTGCTACAACCTTGGTTAGCGATGGACTGATTTCGGGAATCTCAGTAGAATGCACTCAGAATCGGAGTGTTTGGGTGTTTTAGTATTTCGATGATTTTACAGGGTGATTCTGAATAAATGTCACCGATTCCACAAATATGCAGTGCTCAATAGGTTAGTCTTTTTGTTTTAAAGTGTGTTCAAATATCAGCTTGTATTGATAGTAGGATTTTAAATTTCATGCGTTTTCGATTTCAAGCAGCCATGGACGTGAAAACGGTGCATGTCATAAATCTGTATCAAATCGTGTGTTATCTTTTAGAAACTGAAATCTCTTCGAAAGAATGAAAGATTTGTTTTTCGCATATAGAGGTAAAAAGGAGCCATGCTTAGAAATCCGTTCAATATCAGAATTCAGACGCATCGCCAGGACTCCAGACTGTGGTTAATTTTCGGGACAAATGTGGCTGGTAATTAAGTTAAAGGGAGTGAGATTTGAATTAAAGTATGCTAAGTTGAAGATTTTATATGTAGTTTATCTGAAATAAACTTATATAAAAAATTAATACAAGCATTAAATCGTTATGGTCATTTTTAAAAGTGACAATTATTCTTAAAAACAGCGTTCAATAACTATGGCCAAATTTTAATCTAGTTACTCCTCTGTGCGTTGGGCAATATCAAAATCACTTGTCAAAAATTACCAAGAAGCCAACTCTAAAGCACGGGAAACAATAACAGAAGCAAAAAGAGAATCTTGGAATAACTTCATTTTAAAATTCAACATCCATACCACGGCTAAGGAAATGTGAAGTAACTACAGGAAAGTACAAATCTACACACATCTGATATATTAAGCAAAATAACAAAAACGTAATCACAAACCCGGATTTAGCAAACAGCCTGACAGATCACTTCGGGATAATTTCAAGTTTTTATTTATTTATTTATTTATTTATTCGTCAATCAATCAAATCGTAGACTACATATTAACAATAGGACTTATGTTCTTTGACTTCGCAGGGTTCTGAAATATATTTTTAATTCTGTTGTGGGCATATTTAGGTCAATCATTTCACAATGATGATTATTAACAGTCATCATCTGATTTACCGGTCTAAATTTAGCGTAATTTGTTCGATGGCGATGTACTGCTAACAAGTGTCGATTGCGTAATTGTCGGGAAGGTGCATACAAATTTAATCTTGACAATAGATCAGCTAAGTCAATGCGTTGCGAAATGATATTTTTTAATAAAGAAATCTTTGCGTAATCTAGACGTTCTTTCAACAGCATTCAACTGATCAACAAGCAACGTGCTTCACATGACGGAAGAGGACAAACCGTCCAACCTAACTTACGTAATGCATATAATCAGTGCTGTGTTCCTAAAATGTGAGCTAAGTAGTCGCACCCAAGATTTCGGCGAGTGAAGCTACCTCCGCTGGTAGTGAAAAATGCCCATCTTAACGAGCTCATCGCGGATCTGGCGTCGCTGGGCGTCAAAGCCGAATTCAAGTTGGGCAGAGTCTGCACCAATGCACAGTGGTCCAGAATGCAGATTTAGGTGGAATGATATGTTTTGAGCCTGAAATTGAAACTTTAGACTAAAAGTCTCTCCTACAAAGTGGTTCCTTATAGTTAGGCCCTCATTTTTATGACAATGAATTCTAGGGTGGTTCCTATTATCATTAAAATCAAAAATCTAACTTTTATGTTTGAATAAATTAAGGCATACATTCTTCGGCAAAGTTATAGCTGAGCTAATTTCAAGCAACTTTGTTGAATAAAACTTTTTTGTATCTCTTAAATTGGCCGATTTAGAGCTATTTTCTTGAATTGAGTTAGGGTGACTCTTAAAAAAAAACAGTTTTTTTGCTCTATTTGTCTTATTTCGAATTTCTCAGCAAAAGTGTCTTCAGATAACTTTTAGATCTTAAGAAGGCGCAAATGTTTGCTACACAAAGCTTGTCAATATCTTTCGCCGATCAAGAGTTATTGACGTTTTTATACTAAAAATATGCACTTTTCAAATGTTAATATCTCTGGTTGGGGCAAACAAAAAAAAAACTTTTTTGCAGCATTTGAAAGGGCGTATGTTATTCTCAATAATATGAAAAAATTTAAGGTATGTTATTTTTTAAACTCGTATAAAATCAATTTGAATTTATTCATATTTTTTACTATATTTGAGTATATCTTTTTTATTAGAAGAGATACAGGCAACAAATTCGGCTATAGAACATTCGTCTTAAAGAGTTTTAAAAGTCTCTAGAAGATGACTTTCATGATAAATTTCAAATAAAAAAGTTATTGGCAAAAGATGGATTTCATAGGACCACTCTAATGACAAATTTATATAAAATGTGCTAGTACATTTGTTTCAATATTTGGACATTTAGTGTCTTCGAAGAAGTTTTTGTTCTTAAAAATTCCCTTCTTTTGGTGTTTGCAAACGTCAGGGTGGTCCTCAAATTAGTGAATTTTTAAAACTAACTTTTTTGTTCTACAAAATATAAACATGTGTTGTTCAACAAAGTTGTAGTTAAGTTACTTGCAAGCAACTTTGTCGAAGAAAATTTTTTTCTATCTCTTAACGTTCTCATTTTAGAGTAATTTTTCGGAGTTGACTTAGGGTATTCCTGGAAAAAATAGTTTTTTAGCAATAACTTTTTTCAGAGTTGGTTGGAAATGCTAACATGAGGCTTTAGTGTGATGATTTATTAGCTAGAGAATGATCTTTAGAAGAATGTAGGTGGATAGTTCCGTTAGAGTACGGCAGTATGAAAATTGAATAGAAGTTGAAAATGAGCGAAGGGCCATTAAAGCGACAGTTTTCAAGATGACGCACATTTTTGCCTAGCCCGTACGATGTACGCGGGGACTTGAAGTATGTCTCCAAGTCCACAGGAAATGCTCTCGCGACGTGGGGCTTTAGGTAGTGATGAAAACGTCGCTAGAACTATTCCACAGCCGCAGTCAGTTTATGAGCAACAAGAGGGACGCACATTTTTGCCTGTGGACTTGGAGACATACTTCAAGTCCCCGCGTACATCGTACGGGCTAGGCAAAAATGTGCGTCATCTTGAAAACTGTCGCTTTAATGGCCCTTCGCTCATTTTCAACTTCTATTCAATTTTCATACTGCCGTACTCTAACGGAACTATCCACCTACATTCTTCTAAAGATCATTCTCTAGCTAATAAATCATCACACTAAAGCCTCATGTTAGCATTTCCAACCAACTCTGAAAATCGTTAACTTCGCGTATGAAGTAACATAAAAAACACTTTGAAAATAACTTTTTTATTTGAAAATTCTCATGAATGTTATCTTCTAGAGACTTTTAAAACTCTTTAAGACAAATGTTTTATAGCTAAATTTGTTGTCTGTATCTCTTCTAATAAAAAAGATATGCTCAAATATAGTAAAAAATATGAATAAATTCAAATTGTTTTTATGAGAGTTTAAAAAATAACATACCTCCAATTTTTTCATATTATTGAGAATAACATACACCCTTTCAAATGCTGCAAAAAAATTTTTTTTTTGTTTGCCCCAACCAGAGATATTAACATTTGAAAAGTGTATATTTTTAGTATACAAACGTCAATAACTCTTGATCGGCGAAAGATATTGACAAGCTTTGTGTAACAAACATTTGCGCCTTCTTAAGATCTAAAAGTTATCTGAAGACACTTTTGCTGAGAAATTCGAAATAAGACAAATAGAGCAAAAAAAACTGTTTTTTTAAGAGTCACCCTAACTCAATTCAAGAAAATAGCTCTAAATCGGCCAATTTAAGAGATACAAAAAAGTTTTATTCAACAAAGTTGCTTGAAATTAGCTCAGCTATAACTTTGCCGAAGAATGTATGCCTTAATTTATTCAAACAAAAAAGTTAGATCTTTGATTTTAATGATAATAGGAACCACCCTAGAATTTATTGTCATAAAAATGAGGGCCTAACTATAAGGAACAACTTTGTAGGAGAGACTTTTAGTCTAAAGTTTCAATTTCAGGCTCAAAACATATCATTCCACCTAAATCTGCATTCTGTACCACTGTGCAATGTGGTACTCCGTAAGAAAGCGGAGTATGACTTGGTCATCGCCCACCTGAGGACTTCCAAGGTGGAATTCTTCACCCATGACATTCCCGGTGAGAAACCATTCAAGGTGGTCATCAGGGGTCTACCGAACTTTGACCCGAAGTTGATCGAAGCGGAAATCAAGAACCGCTACAAGCTGGCCCCAACTGCCGTCTTCCGGATGACAAAGAGGGACGAGAACGTCAAGAAGTATCCGGATTGCCTTTTCCTGGCTCATTTCCAGAAGGAACGGTGACGCTCAATGCGTTGAAAGCCATCCGCTCCATCAACTCTATCATTGTTCAATGGGAGCCATACCGTGGCGGCCGTCACGACGTCGCCCAGTGTCAGCGTTGTCTGAATTTCGGGCACGGCACCCGAAACTGCTACATCAAGCCGCGCTGTGGCAAATGCGCCCAAAATAATGTCTCCTCCGAGTGCGTTGTCGACGAGTCGGAAACGTGCAAATGCGCCAACTGTGGTGGAGCTCATCAAGGGTCCGACAAACAGTGCCCCAAACGCGAGGATTTCAAGCGAACCCGAAAGCAGGCGTCCACAAGAAGTCAAACAGGACGGAAGAAGGAAAACATTCCGGCATTCAGGGTGGAGGACTTCCCGCCTCTTCGTGCTACGCAACACGGTCAAGCAAATCCACGGGTGCATTCCGGCCCCCGTCAAGAAACGTCTGGTGCCTCAGCTGGAGAAAGCTCTCCATCCCCCCCTGGATTCTGGAGACAACCACCAGCACAAAACGCCAATCCCGATCTCTTCTCTGCGGATGAGCTGATGAAGATTTTCGTCG